AATAAAATAAAATAAAATAAAATAAAATATTTACCACTATTTTTCCCAGAAATTTCTTGCAGTTCTGGCTGTTGCTGAGGTGAATTTCTGGACAAGTGACTTTCAGGTAGCTTCTTGGACATCTTCACAGGACAGAACTCCTGTTCTTTGAGCTCAACTAGATTTTCTGAAGTTTTAAGGTTAGTTTCCTTAGGAAACATACATGTTTGAAGATCTTCCTTCAGATCACACTCTGAAGAAGTATTTTTAATGAGAACTGTATTTTTCAGTGCACTTTCTTCTTTACCCAGAAAGTCTTCTGGAAGAGTTAAATTCTTGTTAACATTTATGCCATTTGCATATTTTAGAGTTACCCAGTTCTCACTGACAACATCAGTGCAAATGTCCTCTTTTGGTGCTGAGATTTGGTTCTCTGCAATCTGGTTTTGTTTCTCATCGGTAGCTGCAATGGCACTGCCAGCCACTGTGTTTGGTTTCTGCTTACTGTAATAAACGGAACATTTGTGTTTTTTCTGAGAGTGACTGTAGGTTGCAGGACTTCTCTTCGCTGCATTCTGACTTCGGCTGGATGAAGTGCCTACAGACAGGAAGCCCTTTCCTTTACCTTTATCTGAGGAACTATAGGAATCCATAAATGTCTTGCAGCTTCCCCTGGAGAAAAAATAAATTCTTTGAGATTTGTTTTTACCTATGAAGCTATGGTGAAGTGTTTTATGGGACATTTTTGTAAAAGAAAGAAGGGGCACATTCACAACCTGTGAAACCGCATTAGGTCTTCAATTTACCATATCAGCTAAAAACATTCTGATTTCAGCGGGAGCAGAGACTCAGACTTCAAACACTCTTACATGTTTCGATGTGTAAGTGTCTAACTGACCACCCAAAAGGGTCAGATTTGAGGACCATTGATGTATTTTCAACTCTTTCCATGGCTGCCACACATGCTGTATCTTTTACTTCCATCATGCGATTTTTACCTTATGCACTGCTGACAATACACAAGATTCATAAAGTTCTTCCATTTCTCTTCTGCAGAGGTGATACCCAACACTAAAAGCTGCTTGGAACACCATCTCCTCTAAACCAGCCCACATCAATATCAAAATACAAACAGACAGAAAGCATTTCTCCACAACACATAGGGTACAAAAGAAGGTAATTCAAAAGAAGAAAAAAGTATTTTTACTTGTAGGAATCAGAGCTGATTACGTCAACAGAGTTGCTGTTCTGCTGTGGTGAAGAACTAGGATTTGGCCTCTGTCTTGATTTCATGAACTCTGCTAGAATATACTGGGCTTGCTGGAAGGCTATTAGAATCACTCCAAGCAGAGACAAACTGCCAAAGAAAACAACAGATACTGGTGTCTACAATTTTCAGGAGTATTCAGGGACAGAGTTAAAAAGCTTTAACAAAATGCACTTTCCAAACGTTTTGTTAGTCAATTCTAAATAAGGAGGTGGACAAGAAAACTCAAAATACAGTTCAAAGTAAATAGCAATTCTAATGGTCTTTTCTTCTCCTTTTTTCTTTATAGCCCTTGCCAGTTATTCTTTCAATAAAATAACTCAGCCAAGGGCTTTACAAAGAAAAAAGCTAACAACGGAAAAAATCCATTCTAAAAAAAGCTAATACTTGATTTGACGATCAGTTAGAAGTCTCATTACAACACAATGGCAATATCTTACAGTATGATACCTGTCAGCTTTCCAAGTACCTTCTATTCATTCATGACAGTTATGTCATTATTTTGATATTTATTTAATACTGTCTCTTTCTTTTCCTAGAGAAAATGCTGCATAAAACGGGCTACAAATGCCGGCCACACTTTTGAACTAAGCTTGAAACTGCAAAATACCCTTTCTTTCTCTTTGGTGTCTTAAATGCATCAAATATATATCGATCAGAATAAAACTTTTCATGATTCATCAAGCCCACCTTCTCAATCATGCAGTATGAATTTTGGCAGCAGGAAAACAGAATGAGAAACTCCTGATCATTTAGATCCCTGTAAGTCTCCTGCTGCATCTAGAACTATTAATGTGGTCATCAGTATTGCTTCATTTGTGCTCTGAGTATTTTCAGTGTCAAAACAACAGTGGAAGCAGAACCATAGCATATATCAGGATCTCAGTTGGGTATGCATCAGCACATGTATGTATCACCATGACATTCACATTCACTGCTTGTTAGTACCGATTGTAGGAATTCAGATTGGTGTGATAAAAGTACTGGGCATCATTTGTGACAAATACAACATGCAGTTCACCCTACACAGTGTGAAAGGTTAGTAAAGGAAAACAAAAATAGGATATGTGTAGGAGAAGAGCCCTTAATTGTTGTACAAATGTACTGTCCTCTTAAAAGCAGTTTACCATGTGCATGCAATGAGTCAGCTAACACAAGCCAATTAATCTTTCTGGCTAGCCTGTTTAGCAGTGTGCCTAGCAAAAGCTAACAATAAACACAAGTATTTTTTAACAATTGAGAGAAGGAAGAAGGCAGAAGAAAAAGCAGGTCTCCACTTGGTTGTCTGAAACTTTATAAATAAAATTCATGCTAATTTTTCAGAAATATTTAAAGATAATCTACCAATCCACTTGATTATACTTACGACATTCAAATACTAATATGTTACATGTGCATTTGTACTGTGGATAGATTAAGTTTTCTTAGCAAGGGGAATTCCTGTGGGGGAATCCTAGCCTTTTTTCTTTGCAGCCTTAACATGTAAGTTTATCAGGAGGAGCAGCAAGAAATGCTCAACAACTATCACCAGCTACTGCATCACACCTAAGCTGTCAGAGCCAGTTGTCAGAACTCTTGGGACGCAGATACAGTACAGATTTAGGCCCTATCACAACTAAAAATCTAACACAAGCCAAAAGTATTTGCTGATCTTTCACTGGCATGTCTCTTTCAAACTGGTGCAGGGGCCCTGAAAGCATTACCTTACGAAGAGGACAGTGAGCCTCCAGAAAGACTCTTCCCAGCTGGGTCCTGGCACCACATCTGCACACAGTGGTAACAGATGGTGAGGAAGAGTCACGTTGAGCGTGAAGTGGAACTCCAAATCAGCAGCAGTCACCAGTGTAAGCTCCCGGATTACCCATGAAGATGTAAAGTCAGGAGTAAATCTGTCAGGAAAAGCAGACAGAGCTGGTGTTATTTTTCCACTTTTGGGTTGAATTTCACTTTCTGAGTCACATTGATACCAAGAAATACAAAATAACTTCGGATTTAATAATATTAAAAAAAAAAAAAAAAAGACAATGAAATAAGTGACCACTGTCTGCTTAGACTATGCAGATGGCATCAGCACACAACAGAGGTAAGACTGTCGAGTTGTCAAGTGCACAGGCAGCATTACTTCAGAACAGGCCAAGTGCTAGCGTAAGTCTAGAACAAGGCTGGAAAGACAAGTAAAGCAGAAGAAAACATCAGATTTGTCTCTTCTTCCACTTACTTTCCTGACCCATACCATTATTGTATTTGACTGCCACAGGTACTGCTAGGAGGTATGACTTGCCTTTCCAATCAGTAGAGGTGATACTTGTATATAAAACCGCAGACACTGCAACACAGTAATGCTAGTTCTACTTGTGTTTAAGTCATGATTCTCACTCAACAGGATTTTAAAAGTAATCAGTTTTAGACTGCAATGTTAGGAAAACATAACTAGATTGTGGTCAGGCTACTTGGAAAAAGCCAGAGAATAACAATCAAATAATAAGAAAAAGCCAGTGGCAAAGCATTTCTTACTCTTTTATTGTGACAACTGTTTTGCTTTAGTTCATTACTTCATAATGCACTGATAAAATCATGTAATACTGCTTTTAAAAAATAACTGAGTCTCATAAAGAAACATTATTATCAATTTGTTAGAATTACCCTTACTGAAAAGGGGAAATGCTTATGAAATTTATATTTGAAGTTCACCAAATTTTATGTGAGGGTCTGCTATTGGAGTGTCTGTTACTGAAATTAATTACTTCAAATTTCCAGTTAAGTTAATTTGCCAGCAAATTTGTCAGTGCTTACACAATGCTGATCTCTCGTGATGAGTTCTGAGCCAGGAAAAATTCCTGACAGTCTAACACTTCAAATCCATATCCTTGGCAACTGTAACCATTGATTTTCATTGATGAAATTGTTATAGGAAGAGGCCCAATATTCTCTACTTTGAAGTTCTTCGTAATAGATAGGATTTGCTTGCTGTCTTTCAGTTCTTAAAAGAGAAAAAAAAGAATAATTATTTTACAGTGTGTAAAAATTATTTTTCTTACGTTTATAAATGAATTGCTATTTTTACTTTCAATCTAATAAAAAATTCAGAAGTGATCAACACTCTGATACAGACTGATTTGCAGCAGTGTATTTCTAGAATCTGTAACTATCTTCAGTCAGTGTATTGAGAAAACAGAATCTACACCTCTCATGACCAGCCTCTTCTGCTTTTTCTATTTCAACATTCTGTTTACTTTACAATAACATAAACAGAAAGTGGTATTTGTACAACTATGGAATAATGCAGCCAACTACAAAATCAAGAGACATGTTTCTTCTTACTCACGTCGTCTGCAGTCCATTAGTGTAGCTTCTGGCACCTTGAATCGAAGAGATCCTCCTGCACCAGGTAGTCTTCCTCCTACTTTAAGCAATTCTTTGGCTCCAAAGCCTTCTACATTGACCACATCCAGAACAGTCAAGTTGTTTCTGCCATAATACAAAAAATAAGCAATCAGCCGCTAAAACACAACTGAAGTTTTCAAAATCACTTCTTTTCTATCTAGGTGCCAATCCAAGAAAACAGTGTTTCGGTAACAGAGTTACTGGCCACACCAGGATAGGTTTCCCCTAAATACCGACCATATTGCCCTGGAACCAGTCACCAATGAATTTCACACAGTTAAGGAACAGGCTTTGTAACCGCTGCCATGAGATAACAACAGTAACAACAGTTCAACCTTGTGAAAATGATTGCTTTTTCCATAAGCTGTCTTTTCCCCCAGAGATAACCATTGAGTGGCTGCACATTAGACCCACTGGATACTTAAATACTATCATTATGAAGTTAAATTGAAAATAGTAAAGCCACCCAACGTGTTGCTCTCAACTCAGAATTACCTCAGTACAATCATATGCATTTGACAGCCCACTGGTCATACACCAAGGAAAAAAAGGTGCTTTTTTAATGACTGAGGCATAAGGCACAAAGACCCTTTAAGCAATTTTTATTAAACTGGATGTATTCTGACTTTCAAGTTTTGACCATTTGTCTTTTCTTCAAGATTTGGCAAATTCATTTCCACATTGAGTTGATTCTCACAGCTGAAACTTGGCTTACCTGATTAAAATAAGGGAAGCTACTCTTCTGTAGTCAACTGGTGTAAAAATTACACCAACTTTTCTAGTTTCCAGTGGCTGTAAACTTAACCAAAGCAGCTCAGAACTGCATTTCTGGTCGATGAGATCCTCCTGATATGCATTCTGTTAAACAAAAATGCACTTCTTATTCACAGAAAATGTGTGTTTAAAGATCTCTATAAAGAAAGCACTACAACTTTACTTAGCACCACATAAGATATTTTTGGCAAAGTGCAGTAACTGCTAACTAACTTGTCATATAAAAGCCTTTCAACTTGACAATGTAAAACATCAGATAAGGTTGTTTATTTGAGCTAAAGTTCATATTACTGCATTTATTATTATGAGGAATGTATTACTTCATTTTTTAAAACAGCTTTTATTTGCTCAGATGGAAAAGAAATTATATAGCGTCTTTCATATTCAAGGAATCCTAAAACACTTCACAACACAATGAGAACTGACTATATACTGATTTCACAGGGAAATGTGGCAACCATTATACACTCAGCATAAGACTTGCAACTTGATTTAAGTGAGAAAGGGACTGCTGGCAAGTATGTTGATCATCTAAGTCACTGGAAACAAGCCAAAATGAACTCCCTACCATATTAATTGAAGACCAGAACTACCAGAAGTACACTGAGCCTGGAAATAATGCAATTTTTTTTTCCCACAATACTGCTGTTTATTCTTTTTCTCATGAAAAAAAAAAAAAAAAAAAAAAAAAAAAAAAAATCTCTAAAACTTTCTATTCCAGAAGGTGGGGTCTCATCTTAGAAAAGGGTGATCAGACAGCTATAGTAGTCAACCATAAATGTTACAAATGTTACAAAATGGGATCTTGCTTGGTGGTTTTTCAATTCGTGGCTGTTGTACTAATGGCTCTTCTGATCTTTTCCAGTCCAAAATATTTTTATTCTTAGTCCATTTTATGAAAAATGAACATACAAAAAAGTTTCAGAACCTGCATTTAACAGTCAATATTTAATAAAAGCAAACCACATATGGCATTTGCAAACTTCACCCTGTCACCCCCTACAAACAAAGATACACATGCACTCAAAATGTAAGCCTATCAATTCATTACACATGTATATAAAATGACTAGGAAAATAATGACAAATTCAAAAATGTAAATATTAACAGCTAGTGATTTGTTAAACAAGTCAGATCCATCTCATACATGCTTCATACCTAACTATACATGTTCCTCCTAGCTCTTCAAATCTCTAATGAAAAACAGGTATTACACACATTGATGTAAAGATCTACTGCTATTTTTCCATTTGGTCAAGCACATGGTGTATGGGACTGTGGAAACTCAGTCCTAAACAAGTACTAGTGGAACTAGCTTCTCTTTTTCAGTGTGTGGCTACAGGCTGGGATTTATGAACTGCTGTCTCCTCTCTTTTACAACAACTCTTACAACTGTTGCCAGAAAGGAAAGGTCAGCTTTGATTAGTATAGCAAACACAGTCTTTTCTTTTTATAAGGTACTAATGTTTCATTAAGGTCTTAAAGCACATATGCAGAAATATGTACCTATATAGGACATTAAAGAGGTGGCTGCAGCATGCCCAAACTGCAAGGAAAAGATATCAATTCCAGGCTTTTGCACAAACTGGAAGTTTAAGAATAAATTCTCTGGGACCCTGGACAGTACTCTGGTTGCCAGAATATGCCAATATCCCTGATACAGCATACTCTCTATTTCCGTCATCTATGACACAACACAGCTCAGCACTGGTGTGATACAGTGAAGTGTTATCACACTCATGGTAAAAATAAGGCAATGGGAAACAGAGAGAGCCATGACATCCCAACCTGAATCTGGGAGTTGCAATGTGGCTGAGCTGAAGTAGAAATCCAGCTTTTTCTTCCCTTGAACTATTGGACAGTACTTCCCTCTATTAAAAATATTATCAGCTAGCTTCTGACATGACCAACTCAAAAGCCTGACACTTCATGGACAACCAGTGGCTAAATGTAAGTCCCAACACAGAATGCAAACTGTGGCTTCTTCAACATGTACGCACACACATGCACACACTCAGACTCGAACTCTGGAAAATAAATGTAAATGCAAACATACAAACCTGACAGAGAATCAAGAAAACACTGTTAAATTGCTTTAAGTAGGACTTGAGAACAACTTAGATGTAGTGTAGACAAAAAGAGCTTTTTCTAGCGTATCTTAACACTTCTATCAAAATTAGCCATCTTACCCTGTGAGAACATTCATCCATGAGCCTGAATTCAGTGGTTGTGAAATTAATAGCTTGCACATTTATGCTGAACCTAAATAAACCAAAACAAAAAATTAAGCACTTCAAACCTAGTCTGTCAGAACTACATTGACTTATTTTTAGGTACTGGCATTTATTCTGAAATAAAGAATACTTTTACAATTGCACTTTGGCAGATGTGAAATAAATGTGGGTCTACATTTTAACAGAATACACTACAAATCAGTTTTATGTGGATTCCACACATTTGGAAAACAGACAAATGGCTGGGCGTTTTAGATCTCTCAGCAGAAGATCACCACCAAGAAATACAATGTCTAAGCCACACAAACACAAATGCCCCAAAGCTTTTTCTCTCTGCATAACTGTTAAGAAATAAGCATTATCAAATCTCATTAATTTACTCAAATATCCTTCTTTCTGCTCGTAATTTGTTTGGGACAAAACCTTATTTTCTTTCACATACTTTCTGTGACATTAGCTTAAAATGAACCAGTTAGTGGACATGATTTCTGGCAAACCTAGAACATCTGCAGAAACAAAAGTGTGCAAATACAGAGAAAAATGTAATTTAAAATCACTAAAGAGTCTATGTGGAAATTATATTTAGTATGCAAACAGATGTAGTTATTAATGTGCATATATACACACACACACATATATGCACATACAAACACGTATGTAAAGAAATGAGGTTAAGAAAGCAATTATACAAGGATTTGGAACCCAAATCAGTATGTTACACTTAAGCACATGGGTAGTCCCACTAGCTCCAACCAAAGAAATAGTCCTTCCAGCTACATGGTTTTTCAAAGTTAAGTGTGACAGCCAGGGCTTATTTTGGTTAACTTCAGCCCACCTTACCATGCCCCTTTATATACTGTTCATCTAACTCTTATATGGCTTTCTCAATAGGTCTTCTCAGTTCTAAAACAGAAAGTTCAAAACAATATAGAAACAGTTGCTTATTTGGCCCTAAACATTTATGATGGGGTCCTGACTCTGGATCTGAATTTTTCCTCCTGGCTCTCATTTCCTCTTCTTCAACCAGAGTTTTTACTTAAGAAAAAGTGAAGAGGAAAACTTTTTCTGGTAGGAAGGTTCAGTACCTTCCTCCTCACTGATCATTCTACAGGCTCTGTATACTTGCCAGCTAGCCTTGCTGGGAGATGCATATCTGCAGTTCTGCAAGTTGCTCCCCTCACCTGGGCAGTTTGCACAGGCTTGCTCTAAGCCCCATATCTTAAAAGATGACCGATTATAATCTACAGCTGCCAGACAAAAATGTGCTGAAAACATGCTCAGTTTGGGTTTATCAATGACCAGGTACATTACAAAGTCACGCTGCTCTGTAAGATGCTCTGAACATCGTTGTATCTTCCAAAACGGGTCAGAACATTGTCCCCACCCAAGCTACACAGAAAAATTAAAACAAACCACAAGCAACAATCAGAAGGCATGGCAAATAGATATTTTAAAAAGGAAAACAATATCCTGAGATAGTTATACTCATTACCATTTGTTCAGTAGACTCAGTGAAGCTTGGGGATCAGGGTAGTAAGAAAGAGGCAGAAGCTGCAACGTAACTGGGAAGGATGAAGGGTTTCTTAGTACAAAATATTTTACCTAAATAGTTTGGAGGGGAAAAGAAACAGTTAAAAACTACATACTTGAGAACTGGAAGGTAAAATCATTCAGCACTGGTAACATGATTTTTATTTTCAAAGGACTTCAGCCTGGCTTCTGTGTTAATGCAATATGATCATATGTGCACAAAACTGCATGGAATAGCAGGACATGTCACTACAATGTCACCATTTGCCAAAACAGCTAAGAGTGCATAAAGAACCACATGTGTAAAAATACAGACCTTCCCCAACCCCTAAACAACCCTTTCATTTGGATTTTGATTTATGCAAGCAGATGTGAAGAAAGCTCTTCCACGGAATAAGGTGAAGTTAGTGACATGTTACCCTTTCTTACAGAAGTCTGAGTGCAAGCAGGTTATATATATTACTATAATGACTGATTATTAAATGGCACAAATGGAGTATTAAGGTAATTCACAATATGCGCATATGAAACTATCTCCGTATGACTGGTTCTGGCCCAGGCTAGGTTAGTAGTGACCTAAATCTGACAAACAAGAAAGAGGCAACCGTCAGTGTGGTTCTAAGACACATTATGGATCTCTCAAATGTTTTACACATTTCTGTTACATAAGGCAGTGGCATGAGGAAGACTATGCTCTAACCACATGCATCCTCAATGACAATACACTCTATCCCTAGTTCCTTGTTCAATTATTTTACCACATGCATGTAACTTATACAATGACGCAAGGAAAGTTTTCACAACCATGAACAATTGTTTGTTAAGAACTACACTGCTTTACTCCTCTCCTTGTATTACAACTTTGTAGTTAGAGAACTTCTCAAAGAGCCATAGGTATATGAGTCTGGTGTCTTAAATTAGACAAGTATCACCCAATGTTAACTGTAGACTTTGCTATTTAAACAAGCTAAACATACATCAACTCAGAAGAAGTGTAACAACCACCATCCTCACCATACTACTTTTAACTGCTGTGGCACTGAAGTTGAGCGTAATGCCAGGCTCTGTAGTCATCCGTGGCAAGAAAAAGGCAAAGGACTCCTCGTCAGGCTTCTGATGAACAAAGCGAGACGATCCTAAAATACTTCTCCTGCTTTATTGGCAAAAATAGATAGCTTTGTTAATCTTATTTTTTCTTTTCTTTCAAACAAAGAACAAAAGAAATTATGATTTGCCAGAACTTATCATTACATCGACTAATCTTTCCTTGAAAATATTCTTCACAAAATAAAGTGCATAAAGCTGTAATCTAGTAGTAGAGAGTCAGTGTAACTTATGTACATCCCTTAAGTCTCCACTTCTACACCTGCAACACAACTGTGGTTTTCACAGCTCTATCTCTTCATTCTGGAAAGGGGCTGGTGCACTATCTCCACGAGAATTGCTCGGTCACAGTGACTGCTTCCTTCCCAACTTCCCCAATATGCAGTATCCATTAAGCCAGGGACTAAAAAAACCTTAAAAACCTATTCAAAGACCCTGATCCTGCAAAGACTGCTATGAGACCTGTTGATGAAATACGCATGCAACTCCATAAACGATCTGGTAAAACATGCTTTGACTGCTTTCACACCAGGTAGCTATGGTTGTTATAGTCAAAACATTATTTACATTCTAAAGCCGGGCATCTGAAACATTTACTTATGGCTTGCAGTGCCTTGAAATGGAAGCTGGGCGTGCTCTGAAACTCCCAGTGCTTCAAGTTAACTAACAAGTGCAGGAAGGCCAGAAATGTTTGTTCTAACTAAGAATACTTCAGAACAGAAATATTCTTTCTTACAAAACTGTACTGTCTTGAATTAAGAACTTCAACAGATTCTGTACAGACCTGCAGGCTTCCCCACGTCTTATTTTTTGCCATCTTTCATAAAGTTCACTTGCAAGCTCAGAATCCACATCCCAGGCAGAACGGTCCAGAGAGAGACTCTTCTGCCAAAGCAGATTTGCTAAAACGATAACAGATTTTTCATATTTCACAGAGATAACGTTTGCTCCTTCCATCAATCTACTTCTGAACATGAGTAATTGGTATCTGCAAAGGGTCCTGACACATAAATAAAGGAAGCAACCCACTTTTTCCCTTCAAAGCAAGCCTATGTGAGGGTATATATATTACTGTACATATCTGCTTTGCTTAAAGAAATACATTTGCAAAACCACAGTAATTCTACATGCAGACAGAAGTACGGGTATTGCACCGGCTTTGTACGCTCTAGTGAGTCCTTTTTACTGCTGCTATTTCTAATGGATGCCATTGAAAAGTCATTATGTTACCAGTAGTCTTTAAACAGAACTCTGTTGATGCCAACAAAGCATCAAGATCATACACTATTTTGTACACAGTGGTACAAAATTATAACATCACAGCACAGCAGGCAGCAAAACAAATCCCCCAGTTTGGCAGAAACGGTGTTTTCGGTTTAGTTTCTCTTTTCAAGGTACTGATAATTTTCTCAAATTCTTCTGAAGATAAAATTGCAAGGCTTTACATCACTCTAAAGATTACTGCCTTTTAGAAAGCCAGGCTCGTATTTGTTCAAGCATTTTCACATAGCAGAAAAGAGTTAGAAAAGCAAATTTCTTTCGAAAGAAAACAAAAATGGCTTATTTTGAAAGTACATGTACTTTATTTTACAGTCCTTAGGGTCTGAAGTAACCAATTGAGATAGATGATGACTGGAATAATCCAGCTACAAGTTCTTCAGGTCAGTATTTTCAGGCTTTTGCATTAGACTTTTCTATTTAATGAATACTATGCTAGTATCCTGTATTAGGAGGCAGAATACCTGTACATATAGATCTGATTATGTGTATTATTAGAATGGAAAGTAAACAATGAGGACTCACTTTTATCAGCAAGATTTCTTTCTAAAGATTAAAAAAATACCTAAAACAAAACAAAAACCAAACAAAAAACCAAACGCTTCTAAGATCTGCACCTAAGCGTGCATATGTATCACTAATTCTTCAAGCCACATGTTTCCATTTGTCACCTCAGTTCTTCTTTTTACATTTCACTAACTACTATTGCCTTCTTTATATCCTCACACAAAATACAGTTTTGGAAAGCATCATCTTGAAAATATGTTTGGGAGAGTACTCACTTGAACATTTCTTTAAATGGTGCCATTTACTTTTAATGGGTACCTATGGTACCCAGCTGCCTACTGAAATTCTTTACCGAGCAAAGATTAAAAAACCCCACTATTCAGAATCAGCTTTTATCAGATTCAACATTCTCCAGGCAGTATTATGTCCACGTACTACCCAATACTATTTTGGTAAATGCCAGCCAGGTACTTAAAATGGCTCACAGCATTACAATATCTGGAGATAGACTCTTCAGTTCCAGAAAGAATGAGACTCTTTCTGTTTCATATGACACAGCATTAAGGATGCTATTTTAATGAGCCTGATAAATGTTCTTTAGTAGAAACTGAGGACATTATTTCTGTGACAAAGCGGTACAGAGACGGCCTTTAAATTTAACTCTGGCTAAAGGCAGGATATTGGTCAACACTTGTTTTCTGTTTCAAAGACTTCCCAGGGTCTGGACCCAGATTATACACGTTGTCTAATCTCTTCGAGCTAGTTGGCAGCTTTATCATTCTACCTCAACATCTCTAGGGAACGTGCATATGAAGAAAGCAAAGAGCAGTACACCACCAATGAGAACTTACAGAAGAGTGTTGAACATTCAGTCCAAAATAATGTTTCAAGACAGAACAATAGCTTAGCATGTGCTATGCAATTAAAGGTCTGAACACTGACAGCACAGCGTACTCAGAACAGGTTAACTCAAACCCATTTATATGCTCCCAGAAAAGTGGATGTTTTTAAAAGACATAAAACTAGTTACTCATATGAACAATTTCAATATTCTCATTACAAGTCCTGCTACATATAACAAATTTTCTACAATGAAACTACTGGCAGATGCAAAAAATCCCCAAAACGAGCCTACCTGAATCAGACTTTCCCAAGTAACACTGAATATCACAGTGTGCAATTGCTTCAAAATGAAGATCTCCCTCCTGGAAAAACAAAATAAAACCTATAACTGACCACATGACAAAACAAGACAAATTCTAGTTTCTCAGTGCATAATTTAGACAAGTCAAAGAAGAGAATTAAGGTTGTCTAGAGGACTGTAATTCCATCACTGTTCAATTCTGGGGGCTTAACTTCTAAAGCTACAGAATGGTTTCACAGAGTGGTCTGGTACTGAGTTTTTACTTTCAGGAACTAAGGGACAGACCTCTGGCCTAAGAAAGAGGCTGCTGCATTTTGGTTTGCAGTGCATAATAATCATACAACACAGTTGAATATGGTACCTTGGACACAGTCGAATATATCTGCAGAGGTATTTCAAACATTACTCCCACATTTGTGGCCAAACAAATACTAGAGAGCACATTTGTTTCAGTGTCTTTCACACTGAGCTTCAAAGAAAATACATTCCAGCAGCCTGGAGGTAGAGTCAAAGGTTCGTCGAAGTTCAGAATCTAGAAAGAATCAAATGACAAGTGAATTAAAATTGCTACAGTATTTCTGGTGTAAGTGGTACCTTGAAGAATGTAAACTTTCTCTTCCTTCGTGTTTTTGCTGTTATTACACACACATATGTGCCCATAACTGATCCGTACAGTGCACATACATAAATCTCCTATCTAAATATACGAAGAGGCAATTAGATGCCTACATCATGTGCTTATTCATAAACCAGATTTGCCTGGTTTGAATCAAGCAATTGCACGAGTAAATTATTGGCTTTGCCTTCTAAACTTCAAAGCTCATCTTTGTACTAAAGACTTCCATTACAGACTATGAAGAAATGCTGAATCCTGTGGAGCACAAACACACATGCAACAATTCTGAGAACAGAGCAATGGTATATAATTTGATGCATCTGTAGCTGCAACTCGAAAGAACAGTTGCTAATGAAACAACACAAAAACAAGCTGGACAGTGTATAATGCCTGTTGAGAGAGTAAGCTCTTCAGAACCTAACAGTTATGGGCATAAAAATACCTTTATTTTGAACTGACTTCAACCAGCTCTGAGAACAGAGTTCTTCAAGGGATCTATTTTGTATGTTGAAGGACTGTATCCCTAAATCAAAGTCCAAACAATATATGAAGCAGAAGAAAAGCTTACCTTTAAAACATTTTTCGTTTCTCTGGCTATGAAGACTTCAGTCAGTTCAATGCTGAAGTCAAAATTGTTTGTAAACCATATGGACCAAAATCCTGAAGTATTATGATGTGGTTCTATATGAAACAATGCTGCAGAAGGATCTATGTCAAAATACCTGTAAGTAAATGCAGAAGAAAAATAAATACATCCGCAATTGTCCTTGAGCACACATAAGAGGTCCACACAAGAAGATAACTGTACTATTCTTGCATAATGATGCTCTTTTAAGGTTTTAAGAAGAAAGAACAGAATTATTTCCTTTGTAATACTTACATATAGTATCAAAGTAAAAATTGACAGGAACAATGTAAAAGAGGTAAGCAGGCCTATACTCTTCCTGTGCTATATAGTACATCACTACCTACTGCTTTGGGATATGGTAGCTTGGATGAAATTGGCAAAAGAAAAGATTCCACATTTTTTCTACAACTATCCTGGTTCTGCATAACAAGGATGGTGGAAATTTTATCACAGACTCTAAGCAACATTTATATGATATGAGCTGCTAAGGTATATCACTTTATTGGCTCCTGAAATTCTTCTTGGATAAAATACAGTATTACTACTTGAAATGCCACAGGTCTGTTTTGGCGAATGACACAGCAACAATAGAAAGAAGCCTCTTCACTTTTCTGGTACTTGTTCAGTGACAAAACAAGCTAACCTCATCTCTTGAAGTACGGCACAATATTCTTCTTACAATATCAGTGAATGTTAACAAACAAACAAAAATCCACTGTCAACCTACCATTCCATCACAGGACAGGAAAGACAGGCTTTTAGTGTTGTAGTGCCTTCCAATTGATTACTCTTCTTGTCAGCATAAGGACTTTCACTGTCACAGGATGCAGCTGGGCAAAGAACAGGAAAACACAGTATCAGCCAGAACAATTTTCTCATGAGGATGTAGCAGAACACAACAGGGAACATTTGCTAGTCCAATTCTCACACAGGTGAGTGAAGCATCTAATTGCTTATGTCCTAATTTTCAGAGGTTTCAAACTTTGCTTTAAGAAGAATTTATGAATGCTACACACCTTCAAAAAACACACGCGCTAAAATGCTGTGAAGAGCAACCCAACCAATTTTAGCCATTGTCACTGGCTCAGCATTCTTATCAGTGCACACTGCCTCCTTTTAATAAATGAAATACTGTTCTAAAAAAAAACCACGATCACTTAAAATGCAGTCCTTTCTTCTTATTTGCCCTCTTTTGATACCAAAAAGAAGTCCTAGTAGTATTATGAAAGCAGCCTGGTTCATAAATATTCCAAGTCTATGCACTGCAGTCTAGTGGTCAAAATAGGAAACAGGCTGGAGTCAGGAATGCCTAAACGTTAATCTTTGCTGTTCCACAAACACGCCTGGTCTCAGGCAAGCCTGTTCAATGATCCTGCCAAGAAATGTCATAGAAAATGACCACCCAAGCACAACAGCCTTTTAGAAAATACATTGGAAACAGAAAAATAACCACAAATCATAAAAGGATGTTGAAAAAGCATATCCAGTAATTATGCTTACCGAAAATCAGCTAACATTTTAGCAAATGTTTTCTTCCCTTTTTTGCAATATGTATAGCTTAGAGCCTTCGATCAGCGTAAGAGGAAGCACATATACACCAAAATAGTGGAAACAATTAGAAGAAAGAGTTAATCCTCCTTCGCACAAAAGTCCAAACAAGTTGATTTTGAGATCTTTCAAGGTCTCTTATCTGCTGAAAAAAAGCTACCCTTTTATAATTAAATCCCGTTTAATCATATTATAAGTATACTGTACCTTTACAAGAAATCCAAGCAACTCTTGTAAAGTTAGTAGATGATGAAGACAGCAGTACTGGCTCAAACTCCACAGGTGATGTTTCTTTTTGTGACAACTGCCGTATTTCCTGAAATAAGAGGAGACACAATAATCCTTGTAGCAGTACTAACGTTATTCCTGTAGCTCCTGTATTCTTGTATCTGCCATTTTCTCACATCTTTTAAATGAACCCATGGATTTTTATTCAAGTTCACAACTCTCATGTGTTTTCAAAAAAAATAATCCATCACTGAACTACACATCATTGAAAAGATCTATTAGATGTCTGAGCACCTTTAAAAATACAGAAGCATGACATTTGCTATGAGGAAAATCAATCTGCTATTAGAGACTAAGCCAGTGGGCTAATTAGTTCCCCAATCAAATTCAAGCACCCTAAAATTTGACATCCTTATGCCCATGATTACCTGTATATGTACAAGGCTGTTCCCAGAATGCATGACGTACACATCCACTGAGGAATCACCTGTTCAAAAGAACAAACGCTGATTTAAGTTCACCAAGGATAGAGGCATTCTTGCTTTGTCAGGTACTCATACAAGAAGCAATCCCAATTTAAGTCTAAAAATCTTTGTGTGACAACTACCCTTGTAAAAAGGAGATGTATTCACATCTCGAGCTGGCAACCATTTCATAAAGGAGTGAAAAATTCACTCAAGCATTTTGGCCATAAACACGAAGGCAAGCATCAACAGAGAATCTTCCTTCATTATCTCCTAAATCCAAGATGGAACATTACAACCCCTTTCCTATGGGCAGGGAAACAGGAGGTAGAGCTGAAGGAAAGAAAGATGGCTGATGTCACCATAACTTTTTAAGTCTAACGGCCAACCTATCAACAGCATGGAAGCATCTGGTAAAAACTGTTCTGTATGCATATACAGCTACGCAAGATCCTGGCATGCTGCTTCGAACAGCAAGTATTATCAGGAGACAATGAGAAGCTGGATGCAATCCTTAACATCTTTTGGGCTTAAAATAGGAATTTTCCTATCAGCTGGTAGGGTAGTAACCTGTTGACTAGAACAAAAGGAGATGGGTATAACTCAGCTTTCACCTGCCAATGAGATGGTACAACTGTATTGGATAACCACCTTTCATCACTGGAAGTTACCACGGGACACTACAAACATGCAGAGGATCAAAAGAAGAGCAGCAGGACAGAACAAGAGGTGACTATTATACCAGGATGGTCATCATCACACTTCCATGAAGGAAGACTACCTGAGCTCTTGCCTTTGCTTATACTTTAATTACATCAGTAGATGTAGGCTGACGTAAAATGACACTCTCCCAATTCATCAGGCACAATTTCTAATAATGAGTGTGTTTTGCTCAGCTGCTTGAAAGCAAAACTACAGATGCCAGCTTCCAAAAGAGAAGCTGGTTAAAGCACATACTCTTCAAGCTTTCCAGCTGGCTAGTTCCCCTGGGCAGACCTTGTCTACCTGCTGTCCCCACTCAAGTGCTAACACATATGCTGTACACGTGGACTAACACAGCACCATATGATTAACTACTAAAAATGAAACCCCAAAACTGTAAAAATATTCTCATAAATGACTACAGATTAAGAAAATCTGAATTCTGTACTATTTACAATGTTTGTGAGCAGCAGGTCCCTTTATGAAACTATTTGTCTCACTAACAGGTATTACTGATCTTTACAGGTCTTTATTTATCTTCACTAACCCAGAAGTCATCACCCTGTGGCTTGATTAGAAGGGGAGGGAGCTCTGAAATTCTCATGACTGCCAGAAAATTTATAAGAAAGAGTCTACTCTTAACTCATTAAAGAATGAACTTATTCCTCCTTGGGAAATTTCTTTAACCATTTTATTATTTTCTTTCATATGACGCTCCTAGGGCAATACACTATCAACATGTTTTATGACCTAGTGTGATACAAGGGTTGCAAATAGACAGTGGGTAATTTTAACTGCAGTGAGCCATTTTCCACCTTGAATATTTAGCCGATGTGATTAATACATAGCTATTTTAGATAGCTATAAAAGTACAGTTTGCTTTTGTTCCCATTTAACTTCAACCATCCATTGTTTCAGCTGGTGCAAGAACTACATGGAGGGCAGTTGGAACTAGATGATCTTTAAGGTCTCTTCCAATGCAAACCATTCTATGATTCTATGATATTCCCTTTTGCTAGATATTTCTCTTGAGACCGCATCTCATTTAATTATACAAATCAGAGGCAAGCAAGCACTGCTGTTTGATATGGTAAAACACCATATCAAATGAAGCAAGACCTGGAACTTCCCGCTGACAGCAAGTCCAAGGGCTAGACCAACCTCTTAACATAATGAGGACTTACAATTGCATTATATTTAATAGAAAACAGCCTTACAAGCATACTTCTATTATTTAACCATCAAAAGTGTTAACAGTGACACCCTTAACACAACAGATGTGAACAATCCTCTACCAGCATCAGAATGAACTTATGTCCGCAACTCAGCAAAACAAAACACTGGCATCTCAGGGGCAGAGAAACTAGGTTTACAGAGGGCATTTCAGTTTCACCTCTATGTAAATATCACATCCCAGAACAGACACCGGAGAAAAACATACATTGTTTTGTGACTAGATCATAAACAGAACTTCTCAAAAGACATAAAGATCATGTTCTTTTTTTCATCAGTATGTTAAAAAAATATTATTTTAATCTGGATTCCTAAGCAGTTCCTTCTTCTTTAATCAGAAAGTAAAACCAGCAGAATTGTCTAAAAAAAGCTATTCAGACAGACTGCAAAGCTCTATAAGTAATATAAAATCCCCTGGATTTAGAGGATTTGTTCACCCAATAGATGTAGCATAAAAAAAACTGCAAGGAGTTGATTGCTTTGCCTGCGGAATTCTAGCTTAGAGGAACAAATGATGTGCACATCTGTATTACCTCATTACCCTACTTTCCACAACAGCTACTATTCCCAGTACTGTACAAACCATTCTGCCTTCACAGTTCTATTATGGTCAATTTAATTAATGTGAAACCAGAAATGCAGCTGTAGAAATCAAAGGACCGTGACATCTTTCCATATTATGAGAGACTAAAGAATGAAACAGAAGTAGTTTACAACTTTACAATCATTACCTTTATAAAGAGCACTGTGCTCACAGTAACTCTGCCTTAAACAAACTGGCTGACAAGCTGTGTTTAACTAAACTGTTAACTCTTAACTGTTTTCCCTTACTTGCAAAATTTAACTGCCACTGAATTTGACTAGATTTACCACATCAAATTGCAACTTATGTATAAAACGAAGTTCTATTACAATGAACAGTCATATTTAGGACTTACCCAAGGTCTTCGTATTTTCCATTGCTACATAAACTACAAAAAGATTCTCCAGTAAGTATTGTCTGTGCTCCACAAAATCTTGTTGGGCATTTTCCATTCTTACCGTTAAGCTCATTTCTAGCAGCATTGGTGCATCAGACGTAAAACAGCAACTCTGGAGCGAGACAAGGGGATATGGTGTGTGTGTGTGGTGGGAGAGGAAAAAATTCATTACAGCAAGGTATCTTGAGAAGTTAATCAAAGGTATTAGCTAACAGACAAGGTTTCCAGCACCAAAGTGCTCGCAAAACAGGAGTAATTAGGACCTCTGCTAAAATCTCATCAGAAACCAAAGATAGTGCAGGTACAAGCAGCACAGCAGAAACATAGATGAAAAATGACTGAAAAGGACACTGAACCTTGAAAGAATGCAAATTTATAAACTGCCTTAGTCAGTCTCACCTCAGGGACTGCAAAACAGTTTCCTTTGTTAAATCCTCTGCCTTCAATAAAATGTGCCATAAACAGACTGATGCATGTGTCTTAATGGTAGGAAGACAGTTCATGTTCACTGGTCTGTTTATAGTTAATTTTTCCAAATCCTGTGTTTTTTGTCTCCATTTCTCACTGAAGTAATTTTAAAAAAACAAACATACATGTACAATTCTTAATAGAAAACACTGTTGTCTGACTAGAATGCTTCAGATAAATACAAATAGGGTCTTATTTCCTTCTCTATGTAGTGGCTGCTGTTAAGACAGCTGAGTCTTAGCAACTACAAAGACACAGACACCATTTTGCAAAAAAATTCACACCAACAACACAAAACAAAACTAAGACAATCAACAGTGAATAACATAAACTGGTCCTGAATCACACCATGAAGGTCATTAGGCTTCAATGCCCTAGCAAGAGGACTAATTTGCTCAGGAGGAGGAGGAGAAGAAAACCACCCCAACAAATGAAGTGCTCTCATGAAGCAGCAGCAGTACACCTTCAGCTAATCTAAAGTGTCGCAAGGAGGTACAGTGGGAGTAGGGAAGAGTCCATGGGAATGGGATGCTAGTTCACTGCTCAAACAGCATCAAAGAAACCATCAGCACATGAAATGGCTATCAGGAACAGGAGAGGAGGCCACTGTGGAGACCGAAGCAGAGAGATGCTGTGCCCCTAGAAAGCTTGCACCAAACAGCAGGCAGCTGCACTAGATGCAATCTCAAACGTTCAGGTGCATCTCAAGCTTAACCTTATTCACTAATGTAATGAAAGAATCAAACATGGGAGTAAAATAGCACAGGGTCACTGTGACATGTAATGTACAGGAATACAGCTATAGAGTCTTGGCCTTGTCACACTTGATGGAAGATGCTGTAGACCACAGCACAGGCCTATGTATCTGACCCAACCAAATCCCCCATCGAATACCATTAGCACTGTGAAGCAACACCCATTTACTGCGTAAGGACATTTAAGGAGAGAAGGGAAGAGGAGAATTGGATAGCACTGCCCAGGAGGATGAAGAGACCCACTATCCTGAATGCTCAGAGCTTTTTGGAGGGGGATTTTCTGCTAACAAGCTCACCCCTCCTCAGCACTGCCCAATGCCAAAGCCACCTTCAAAGCCGCCTGAGCACAGAGCCCAGACTTCAGCCTTCCAGCTCATTGATTTCCTGGTCAGTGTGAACCCAAAACTTGTGAAATGCTTCTGGAGAAAGGGAATTATAGGCATATAGTCACTTTTGTACTTCATGGAAGTAGTAAAACATCTACACATTAAAACACTTAGCCTGCTGGTTTGGTTTGGGGGGCCTTGAGGGAGGGGGGGTGCTATAGGGGCATTGGGTGTCTTTTTCCATCTCCCCCTCTCCTAAAGGTTATGGTGTGATGTATGTGACATTTCATCTATACCACAGGGTATGGTTTTATAAAGGCATAGCTAAAAGCACAATTCTCCTTTAAACTAAGACATTGGAAATCGCATCGTTGCTAAAACTTCTAGAGCTATGGAAAGTGCTCCTCTAAACCTGGACTGAAAAAAGACTTAAGTAGATATGAAATTATAATAAAACACACCTTAACTTGCTGATATGCATCATTAGGTAAACTGCATTCAAGGTGAACACGTAAAAGACTGGCATTCGTAGTTTCTGCCTATAAGAAACGAAAGAAAAGAAAACATCAAACACATTGCTTCAAATCTGATTCACACACCACAATTTATAACGATAATAGGACTGTTTCTATATATGCACGACAAGAAAAATAAGAAAATTTATAAAAATAAATACAATTGCTCTATACAGTAGGCAAATAATCAATCAATCTCCAATTCTCAGGAACTCCGTCAACACCTACTTATCAAACTATTATTATACACAAATATTAAATAGTTATACAGCATCAACATGAGCAATGCTTATAAATTTTCATGTTTCAATAAACTGTATTCAAAAGAGCCTTTTCTGTGTAATATAAAAGCTTCTTTCCTTGTTTTCTGTGTACTTTTGTGGCTGACTGGATACTACAATAGAATTCCTACCCCAAGAACATAGGGCTTCTTGGACCTGGTCTGATACATAGGCTTCATACCAAAATGGACAGACAGAAAATACTTGTTTTGCCTTTTTATTGATTTAAAAAGGGAAAAGAGAAGACAACATTGATTGTGCCAGCTTGTAAAGCACTCATAAATCTAACACGGCAACAGCGCCGACAAAGCCCAGCATAGTTCATGAAAGCTCTTTGGAAATCTGGACTGTCAAAACACCTGCACAAACTGCTCAGCCAGACATCTTGATACTAAATTAAAACCAAAAATAAATTAGAATGACAGACCTATCACTCTACCAAAGCCTTAATTACAGCAAAACTACCTGGTGATTCTTGAGACTGATGTGGAACTCCCCCATTTCTTTTGCAATACTGAACTAAATAACTAAGTGGGGTATCTGCAGGTTCAGCTTTCTGAAGGTGTCAATGCAACTGACTTTAAAGAATGTCAATAATTTCATGCTGAAAAGCTAAACTATGAATCAGGGTTTTTAAGTACCCAGCACCCTATTTTGCATCTCCCTGGGACAGGCAGAAGAGGGCAGGGTGCATCTGAGCAGAAAGTAGTTTTACCACAAGCATAGCATTTCATGGGGTCCAGTTTTATACAAGCACAAGCCAAAAGGAAGCAAGCATACATACATTCTGCATTCCAATTCAAATTTCATACCAAAATGACTGGGGCTTCACACAAGAGGGCGATGTAACCTCTGCAAAGGTGGTTAGCCACATGCCAAACCCTGTCCCTATCGCAGCTCTTAGGGGAACATGAACCCCTGACACCTTTTCTTTTTTACAATCGCTTTTGTCCTCATCAAATTTTAAGAACAGAAAAAAACCCCTCATCTGATTCCAAAACATGCACCGCTTACCAACCTCTCACAGCCATGACTGCTAGTGGAGTTCTTACGAGGCAGTAAGACTACATAGAGAGCAACCCTGGGAGTCACTTTTCTGGTCAGATAAACCTCAATGCTTACTTTCTTTCTCAGAGGTTAAGAAAACAATACTGCTTTCACGGTCCTAAATAAGGAGCTGTTAGCCCTTATTCAATGCCACTGTAGTTTAAAGTAGTTTAAGACCACACACCCCCATTAAAAAAGCTAAATCATATTTTTCCATCTTTTTTTTTTTCCTTTTTTAACTTTTGCCATGGCATATATCTAGCATGAAAACTGATGTCATCTTAAAATTGAAGCTTCTAGTGTAACACACAGAGGTGAAAAAAATGCAACTGCGGTGTATTAGATGTTGATTTGTTTTCTTTATGACTTACACACACACACTCTCCTTCCCCCCTGCCTTTGAGAAGCTATCTTCAGAAAAGGAAAAGGGTTTTCATTTATCTAAAGCTGACAACAGATGCATAACTGTCATGCCCACTATCTTACAGCACTGGTAGGATAGCTGTGTTAACCATAAAGCATCTGTGAAGAAAACACTGTCAGAGGCAGAGTTTTCCAAGACAAACCCAGGACCATGTCCACATCTCCCAGCAGCACAAGCACTCCGTTTACATTGTAAATATCACTGCCTATGAATCAGAGCAGAGAGCTGAATTATACAGCATATGTTTGCACCGGAGAATTGCAACAGAGAGGCACAGCACAAGGGAAAAGTTAGAAAGAGCACTGCAAAGCAGTACAACCACTGTCACTTCATTCCCTGGTGCTTCTATTTTGTATTAGGTATGCAGGCATACATACTTGCACATACACGCTGAGCACACACAAATCCTATATGAACTGAATAGAGAATTCTGATAGAAGCCAAACAAACTAAATTCTTGCCAGTTTTGGCAAGTTCTTACATTTAAATTTTAAAGAAACAGAGGCTTCTTTCAAAAAAAAAAAAAAAACCAACCCTGAAAACCTGAACCATCTGATGTGGAAGGAGCCCCAGTCTCCTGGCAAACAAAGGTCTAGGATTATTACTGGGGTACACTACAGTAGGCAATTACTTAGGAAATAATTTATCTACCAAAAGACAGACACAGCATCAACAGGACAGCTGGCATGGGCCAGCTAAAAAGCCACCAAGCAACTACAGACCAAGGGTCACTTTTAGGGGAAGAATTCCTTATTCTGCCTTAAAGTGCCCTGTCAATCTGACATGGCTCTAAACAAGATTTTCAGAGATGTTCTTGCATCACGATCAGGACTGTAGAGTTCAAACCACTTCCCGGAGTTTGGCTACAGTATAATTGAAAAAGAACAAGCATTGAACAAGCCTCCCCTTCTTCCTGCAGGCTGGTACTTCAAAGTTTCTGTCCTTGACAGTCCCTGGCCCTAAAGAGCTTTTTCCACTCTGAATGGTGTTAATTAACTGTCCCCGTAATAATGATTCAGCAGGGTTTCATCAGTTTTTTGCAGGCAGTTATCTGGTTGGCACACCAAGAAAACTCTACTGTCCAACTACCTTCCTTCTCCACACCCAAGCACCACACTTGCACATATTTGCTTCTCTGATCTTCTGTCTACTGGCACAAAACATAGCTTAAGGAGTCTTGGGTTCCTGCCAGTATTTGCAACATTACGTTGGTTCATAAAAGTCTGAACTCCTCTGGGAAGTCGGCAAAGTGATGCTTGTGTCTCCTATGATAAGATGTTCCACCTTGCACGTCACTCCTCCATTGACATTTCCAGTGTGTTTGTACAGCATTTTGAACACAACAAGTGATGTAGCTGCCCTGTCAGTGCCATCCAGATATTAAACAATGCCAAAACCCAGACAACTGGAGCAAAGACTACATCCAGAAGTTGGATGAACAAAGATGACCTATATGTGCTCCACCATCTGTTACTGCTTATTGGTAACTAGCCACTGCTGAATGGCCACGTGGACATACTGTGAATTCACAGTGTTGGACACAGGTCTGCTTTCCTCCCAACTGAGTGAGCCAGAGCCCAGAAATCCAGGGATCCAGGACCACAGCCAGAGCACGCTGATCCTGAACCATTCAGAAGCTGAAACTTTGAAAAGAGTAACGGAAAGAGAGTGGAATTCAACAGCAGAGAAGGCAAATTTGTCTTTCTTTTTCTTTCCTTATTAATCACAAGAGCTTCTGCTAAAAAACCCTGGAGGAAAGAGGAAGAAAAAAGAAAAGCCTGTGTACCTTTGCCTATTAAAGGATAAAAACAAGCCACAAAAATCAATGGAAGTTCATTTTCCACCAAAAAAAATGCAAACATAGACTTGTCACATATTCTACTTCCAATGGGAATACTACTTTAGGTGTAAACTTTCATTTTCAATGAAATACATCATATTTCAAACATAAATACTCTGTAGAGACAAAATTTCATCCATATCCCTATGTACTGTTCTGGCCATTCACCTTGAAAAGAAATTTTTACAAATTGGAGAAGCTGCAGAAAAGAGTTGTCAATCTCCTTAAGAAATGGACAGCCCATCACTGAAGATACTACAGAGCACAGACTGTTCAGCTTGTCAAGGCAAAAGATGCAATGCCACCTACAAATGCTCTTAGGCTTAAACCATGACAGCAGAAGTTATATGAACAAAATGCATATCTTAACAAACAAATATAAACCATCCACAAAACAGTTTACATTGGAAGTCAGGTTTGGGTTTCCAACCATCAAAGGAGTAAGAACAAGTATTTGGGATTATGGTGACAATGCCTCCAACAGTTCTGAGAAGCCGCTTTACTGAGCACATGATGGGATTAAATGACACTACCTTTCCAATCAAGGCCCTTATGATCAAGGATGTCAGTATTACCAAACAGCTTAAACACAACCACCTTTAAAACAGGAGACACAGGGGCAAAAACCAGACACACCATGCAGCACTCAGCGAGTGCGTTTTCTCACAGGTTCCCAAGCAGTATCAGTAGACTTCAGAGGGAAGGATACCTACAGTGTATCAAACTAGCCATTGCTACTTAAGGTGACAACTCATGCATCCCAAGATGACAAGGGATGTGTAAATGAGGCTTATGCTATCCTGAACTTACACTAGTATTTTACCTCAATAAAAATAAACAGGGGAAAGCAAACATACACAGTGACGTGAGTATGACTGGTTTGCCTCAAATGCTTTTTCACTACAAATCTCCACTGTGTGTTTAACAGTACTGTATCTTTTAAGTTTTCCCCATGTATAGTCAATCACTCAAACCTCATAGAATTTTCTTCCTTCCACAGCTTCTGAGCCTAAAATATAGACTGGACAAATCAGAACCATACCAATTTTCATGGTATCTGGAGCAGAACATTAGCAGGGTGAACTGAAGTAGGTACTTCTGGACAGCTGTCTGAATATAGGCTGAGAGAGTTGGGGTTGTTCAGCCTGGAGAGGAGAAGGCTCTGTGGAGACCTTACAGCAGCCTTCCAACACTTGAAGGGAGTCTACAAGAAACCTACAGAGGGACTTTTTACAAGGGCATGGAGTGATAGGACAAGGGGGAATGGCTTTAAACTGACAGAGGGGAGATTTAGATTAGACATTAGGAAAAATTCTTCAGTGTGAGGGTGGTGAGACACTGGAACAGGTTGCTCAGAGAAGCTGTGGCTGCCCAATCCCTGGGCACTGTTCAAGGCCAGGTTGGACGGGGCTTTGAGTCCTGGTCTAGTGGAAGGTGTCCCTGCCCATGGCAGGGGGGTTGGAACTAGATGATCTTTAAGGTCCCTTCCAACTTTAACCACTCTATGACTTTTCTAAAAGGAACCCAAACTTGAGCCATAAGCTCCCCTTCAGTACTACGAAGGTCTTATCTACCATCTTCAACAGCTAAGGAGCTCCTCTCACTGCTGCAGCATTTCTGTCCAAATCAGTAACTGTGAACCAAAGAGTAATTCCCCAATTATAGGGAAACTACACACAGAGAAATGTTCCTCATGATACATTAAGGAAAATGTCAAGTGCTCCCCAAAACTTCTCTACTCTGAATTCTGACAGAACTGTGAAGCAGCAGGCTGCATCCAAACTTCAGACAGTAGCTGAAATCATAGAGCTAGACATGAAGATGAAGAGACACATCATGAACAGCATCCAAAAAAACCTTCTCAGCTCTACCCTTTGCACCTGAAATCACAAAACCTGAAGATTTTTGGTTCCTTCACAAGAGTCTGCCTGTGTACAGCCACAAGCAACCACACCTGTGTGATTACAGGAAAGAGACTGGTACAAAGGAAAAGAAAGGAAGATAAGGAAATATTATCCTCAGGCAGAGGTAAGACAGACCTAATGTAGAAGTAGCAGACTGAAAAATATGATCTAAGCTGAGAATTTTTCTCAGGTAGAACAGAAAACAACATCATGAAGGCAATCAATACAGCTTAATTTTAGATAGAAGAATAAATTCTGTCACATGCTAAGATACTCTAAATATGTTGTTGAAAAAACTAAACTCATGTATAATACAAAAGGAAAATTGAAAGATCGTTTTTTCCTTATTTACTTGAAAGGTTCTGTATAGCCTTGAAGACTATCAAAATACCTGCAACTGCAACCAAATGACAGAAATTGTTAAAGCTTCTCTCAATTGAAATAGTTATGCCTCGTAAATCCACCTTGCTTTATCCTCCACAGCTCTGAGCTTTGGTCAAGCTGGTATCTTGGTAAGCAAGGCTGGTATCTTCAGCACCAATTCAAGCAGGAGGAGATACTGCAGCCTGACTCCCACCTCTCATTCTCATCCACACACCATGTCATGCTTTTTAACTGTGGCACACTGTTGGCACAGCCCTGCTGTGAACTGGCATGGGTAACAGGTCTGAAGTAAAAACCAGAACAAACCAAAACAGCCCTCCCCTTTATAACACAAAGTTTATATTTTAAGGACAGGTCAATCCTCCAGTCTAGTTCAGAGCAGGGCCTCACAAATAGTTTTGTTGGCACAACTGAGAGGACAGCACACCACACACACATATGAACAAGAAGAACTAGGAATAGTTTAAATGCCAAAGACTCTTCAGAAATCCAGAATATCAGCTGATCACAGTAGCCCTTTATCTCACGACCTTTCTCCTACAGTCATCACTGATCCTTGGACTTTTTGTTAATGTTCCTTGCATCCCAGCAACCCGAGGACAAAAAACTTTCATGCCTAAGAAGGTTTATGTTTCATCTCCATTTGAAATGTATACTGTACCAGTGTGTGTGATGCCCGGATGTTTTGAATGTGTGGAAGCAGTAAGTAGGTGTTTGCTAGCTGCACTCTAGGTTCTTCTGGAGAGGACATCAGAGTTCCCATTCCAAAAACCTGGTGTTAAAAAAAAAGGTTATTACATTAACATCTAGTATTTCAGTTATCACAGTAACTTACAAAACTACTTTGCTAATAACCACAATCTTCCCAAAAAACAGATCTGGTTTTCACATTAGTTCTTTTAAAAGAGAACTTGTATCAGCTCCAATGTGGAAAGTAACTGTACACATAAATGGCACTTTAGCATCTTCACTCATTCAGGCACTATTACAAATACAAAACAAAGAGCTTTCCAGCAGAGCATCAGGTTATCTCAAAAAAAAAAAAAAAAAAAAAAAAAAAAAAATATTCATGACATCAAAAAGGTTAGAAGGGGGCATCTAAACTCTCTTACTGTTCTTTGGGCAATTACAATACAAGTATCATCATTGGATGTGTAGTTATTTCTGGGAAAACTTTGTTACTAGTCCCATTTCATATTTAATTCAATGGCCTTGTCTTAAAAAATAAGTAAAATAATTTTTTATCATTTTGGGTTTTAAATTTTACAGTTTTCAGAGCACTATTAAAATTTACAAGTTGAGTGTTTTTACTGCACTCATATTCTGCTCCACCAAGATTAGTTTATGACAATAAGATGCAAGATAATGGGGGAAATAAAATCATTAGAAGTTAAGAAAATTGCCTTGGGGCTTTTCACTTGTATACAAAGATTTTTCTTCTTCTTATAACAGAAAAACCACGTTTTTAAGCGGATAATAGAATACCCTCTATGTTCACTGAAGATCTCTGAGTACACAGAAAGTATCAGAACAAAGGGAACATGCTTCCTTTTTTTTATGGAGGCGTTCACAAAGTACATTTTACTATAATGGTACTTCTACTCCATTTGGGTTAATCTTCTGTACATGCTCTTGCACAAGTGCACTAAGAACATCACATATATTTCAAGACTTTGAGCCTGTCAAGAGCACTGTAACTGTGCATCAACCACTCAAGTTATGCCCTATTTTGAAACTCTTAAACCTAATGCAAGCTGAAATCATAAGCACCTGTTTCTTATGTTTCAAGTGGCTGGTGAAACTGCCATGAAAACCAGTCCATTACTGATTTTACCAGCAGTCCAACAGGAGACAAATGGATTTTTTGGTAGCACTGACAACTGCTTCCCCATGACTTACTTGATAAAAGGCTCTGCCTGAGCTGACCAGGCAGGTCAATAAATCAAAGGGTCAGGAGTGAGTGCAAGGAGAGGAGAGACAGCAAAAAGAAAAGGTCAATCACTCTATAATCCACTCGTCCCTCAACCTTGATGAAAAGTACCTGCCAAATGTGGCATTTCCTCTAATAAACAGTAGATAAATGCAACATATGAATTAAAAAACAGGTATTTCAATTGAAATGACCTATGCTTCAATAAAGAGCTTTGTTTTCCAGCACAGTATCTAAATATGGGAATGGAACAGCTGGGTGGTTGATCAAAGCTGGCACTGTTTTTAAATCACTGAATTCAGAGACAGATTTTTAACAAATTAATAAACGTAAAGAATTTGGAGTATGAAATGTCCCTCATAAAAATAAAAAGCTTAAGACTTGCTTCTATTCAGTGATTAATCAGACAATAGATGGCTTTAATGCACAACCATTACTTCGACTTTCCTGTTTTAAGGGCCTAAACCTCTCACCCTGTGCTACATCCCCAATGTGTTTACATAAAATCCCACAGAGTAGCTGAAAACCACCTAAAGTATTTCCTAAATAGGTTTTTCATGACAAATGCATTCCAGCACAGTGCAGTCTAGACTGCAGTATTATATGAAGCCAACTAGTAGGATCATGATCTTTTAAGTACACACATATAAATACACTTCGTTTTACTACTGCAAGTAACACTAACACACACTAACGGTAGTAATTTTAGTCATAAAGATGTATGAGGGATCACGAGACTAGCAAGATCTGGTATACAGTATCAATTGTAAACATTACCCCACCTGATTTGTATCAGGAATTCAATGAACTTTGAAAGTCTCTCAGTTCTAAATGTATGAAAATCACTTTCCAAAACATAAGTAAATCCAAAACTCAAGCTAAAAACAAGAATAGTTACCTGATATGAAAGTACTCCATGAGATGAGGTATTTATAAATAATGCGCTTTCAATACTGCCTTCTTCTGTTGGCAGGAAGAGTACTCTGAAAGAGATTTTTCCCATCGCAGGAATCACCTGCAGAGACCACAAAGAAGCTTTCTTGCTCAGTGCTGGTGATCACAACACTCACCATTCAGTCGCATGGCCCAATAGACATCTCCACATGTACACCCCTATCTGTAGATCCCATTACGCAAATCTCAGCCCTGAGAAGTTTCTTCTGTCCACAGCTCTCAACTCTTACTACAGAGAAGAACTGAGACCACGCAGCAACTTGCCATATTATGGCTGGAGTTTCTCAGCTAGCTCAGGCCTCGTTGGTCAAGACTCCTTTGTGTTTGAGAAGTTAATCATGCTTTTTTATACCTCTGCATGCCCAAAAAAATCTTCCCCCATATAGATACCTATTACAAACTGAATCAACCCCCCCCGTGATACATAGTCAAATGAGTCAAGGCTGAACTGAGCTAACACAATTAGTAACCAAATAGGTCTAACTGAAAGAACAATGACATTCATGTCTGCACAGTAACACCCATTCAGCCATAGTAAAAGCACAAATCAGATGAAAGCATAATAAAAACCCTTTGCACATCAGCAGAAGATAAAATGTGGGCTACATCAAACTGAGATCACAGCAATTAACTCTTAATATGCATTATGTTATTATACACTGCTAAAAAAAAATCGAGAGTGAAAATAATGGTCTTAGATCATAAGGCAATTATGCTCATAATAGCAATACAAAATGCATAAAACATTTCACTGCAGGTTTTTTTGAGTAATATGCAAGACCATTCAAAACACTGAAAATTCAAGGCTGTGAAACACCCACATGCCTGTAGATACTGCATAAGGCTGCTTAGAGAAGAATGAGAGTTAAACAGCCTCCTTAACACTGAAAAAATCTTCTTCTCTGTTACTGTAAAACACATTTCCTACTGTAGGTTTTGGATGTCTTCTCTCTTACCAGTCTAAGTAGAAGTGAGAAAAAAAAAAAAATGCTAGCAAAACAGAAAAAAACTTAGGTGTCCTACAAAAAAGCACGAAGAGAAAACACAGAATGAGAAGCTTAGGCCAAAGGAAGCATGAAGGCTTGGCACTTGGCCATTACATAGTTTCCAAGAGTACATCAACACTCACCCGGCTATGAGGAGGAGACACATGAAACTGTCTAGTAGCTGTAAACACTGAATTCACTACAACTTCTCTATCTCTACTAGGGTTGTAGGCGTGCAGCATTTTAGCTCTGGGTAACCCCAGTAATCTACAGAGAGGGGAGAAAAAAGAGAAAGAAATTATTCACTTTATAAGCACAGACTATGCACAAAACAGCAACAAACATAAATCACTCTAAAACATACTAATATGCAAAAATTGCCTAGCTGTATCTATTCTTTGGAAACATGCCAAACAAATTTCATCCTTTGGTATATACAAAGACAAATAAGCAACACTGGGATATAAGAGGTGAGTTAGCCAAAACTCATTTGAGTTACGTGGAGTTTAAGAAAACTTGTAAGGCGCAAAGTTTTAAATAAAAATGTTTCAATAACCAAAGCCTTGTTTTGTCAGCTAAAGCAACAATTCTCTTAAGGCTTCTGCTTTAGCTAATACATCCTGTACATTCATTCTGTCAATCCTCCGAAACATTCCTTTAACTCAAAAGGGGACCATGTTTCCTGTGGTTACTGATAGACTAAAGACTGATTATCATTTAAGATTAATTCTTAAAGTTTTCCTAAAGGAGAACAAAAAACTAAACCAAACCTAAAATTCTCAAGTATACGAGTATGTTTTGCCTGGGACTTTCTGGATTTTATCTTCAGAAGTTAAAGGAAGCACCAAGCACTCCCTCCACTAGAAAGACAATTTTTCAAGAAATGAACAACCCGCGTGAAGAACTGATTGGACATCCATGCAGAATCACCTGAAATGCACACAGAATGTCATATGGTTCCCTATTCCCTTTTCCTCCTTTTGAAAACTATGTTTATTTTCATTTACAAAGTATGCAAGGCAAGAAACACAGTTTCAACTCTGTGGCATTTACTTATTATTTCTCTTCCCCCCCCCCACCAAGAGGATGGCATGATGTCAGCTAATGCTCTTTACCCAAATGTAGCCCAGTATAGTTGTCCCTCCTCACTTTATTATTAATCAAAATAACAGTTACGTAAGATACTCACTGCATTCCAAAATGCAGAACTGACGGGTGAAAATGTAAGGCCTTCCCATTTGGAGGCATCTTTGCTGAGAAGCTGAAAAATACGGATAAGAGGCCACAATTATTATTCAGTGGGTATAATGCTACAACACTGCAGGGAAGGACAGGCTCTGACTCTTTATATTCTAACCATATTCTATTTCCAAATCTCCCCATACATTCCTCTCGCTGCCATAAGACTGACCTTTTAAGAAGGTTTCCATACAACAGCACATGCTGGAAATATCATGCCAATAAAAGTGGAGTTTAAGAAGCATTCTGTTTTAAAGACAAAATGCTGGCTTGGACAACCTCCCTCAGTCATGCTGATACACCTGTTTATGGGGCTACACAGTGAACTACAGAGGGAAAACAACTTCAGGGTCCTGGAGAATGAAAATTACATCGGCTTGGAGCAGATCCCCAGTCTTGTCAATTCAACATTCACACAAGCACTGGTATGAGCACACCCAAGAGATGCAGAGGTAGAGGAGTAAATAGCAGCTTGGGCAAAAGCTGACATCCAGAGAGTGCCTGCTATGCTGTAGAGCTTTAATGCAAAAGCCAACTCATTTCTTATATGCAAAAGAGTTAGAAATAATGGTGAAACACACATCAATATCATCTTTCCTTTGCCCTAGGAAAATTCACAATACAATTCCCATCAGTTCTAGCACATTTTTAGCTCATTTCAACATGAGTCAATGCCTTATAACATAGAAATCCCAGGATATCTTCACCAGTTTCTCAATTAAAACCTGTCCTCTGCAAGTCCTAACAATCACAGTGGCAAAAAGCAAGTCCAGCACTTGTTCATTACATGTTTGTACCCAGTGCTAAGCTGCTAAAAACTTCCCCAGAAGCAGTCTGCATGCTGCATGGCCAGAACCAGTTTCATCTTTACTGGATGATGCTGATAAGTATCATAGCAAGGATGAGTCTGAGAAGGGAAGGATGGACTGTGGTCTCATTAGTTATCCAGCTGCTTTGCATAATGTGTGGTAGTACAGCTAATTGGCCCCCAATTTAAAAATGTAGTTCTGTAACATTACAACTTTAATATATTAAAGTACCTACATAATACTGTTGTTACACTCCAAACCAATAGACATCATAATTTATTACCACTCAGGAAAAATCAGGTTTATTATTATGAAAACCCACAACTTGTATGAAAACATTGCTCATAGGAGGGAGCAAACTCCCTTGCTGTTAGCAGGAAGAATGCAGTATATCCAGGTAGCATTTCTGGGGAGCTGCTAGAAAGTAACGAACGAACAGATGATGCAGAACTATAAAGTCTGGGTGAATGACAGTCTCTTTCCACCCATCTTGTCTCTGCTCCAGCCAACTCTTTCTCTGTTCCTAGAAACAACGCAGCAACCAGCACCTTCTTCCCTTTTCAAGTCAGCCTCAGAGACATACCCAGAAGGAAAGTCTGAATACTTCTGTTGTAAACATACACAAATTAAAATTACTACTGCAGTGAAATCCCCAGACATTTGAGGCAAGGTACACTTTTTAAGGGTCTTCTGATCGTTTTTTTTATATGCACACACATATATGGCAAAATAAAAGTTAAGCCTGTGGTTTATGCACTACAGGATCACCCTGAACCCCATCAGGGCTTAAGTTTCTAGCATCTTGCAGGTACTGCTGAATTAATCTTTTCCCACCAGAAAAACCTTTGCTGAGAAGGGCAAGAAGCCAAGTGCTCCTCTGTGCCAGTAAGAGTAACTGGCAGTAGCTCTCCAAGACTTACTAATCTTCGTTCTGGGGAGCCCTAGCAGCATCAGCACTTTTCCTCTCAGCAACAGGCCCCCGATGCACGGGGTGCAGATGCAGCTGTGGATGTAAGGAGACTGCATTTCATTTGTTTCGGTGAACAAGGCCATGCTGTAGCAGCGATTCTTAAAAATGCACTGTGTTACTGTCCAGACAACAATCCCAGCCAACCCTCTCCTAGCCAGAAAAAGGGAAAAGCCCTCTGACAGCAGCAGCAGCAGCTGCAGCAGGATCCCAAGGCTACTGTCCTATTCCTTCTGGAGAAGGCAGCCCGGACCTGGGATGGCAGAAGCTAAGCCTCAGCCTCTCCAGGCTGTGAGCTAACTCCTGAGCATGGAGAAAAGCATCCCTGCGCACCACTTCTCAGCAACCCCAGGAACAGGTCTGTGGTTACAAGTCATCCAGCTTCTGCTCTGCACCCCACAAAGGCTGCCGAATTGCCCCAAGCCCCAGCCTGGCCCCAAAAGTAGAACAGCCGCATTCCTAGGGCACTGTGTGCACAACCCTGGCCAGCTCCAGGGCGTCTGCACCGCTTATCAGCAGACCAGAAGCTGTGCCAAAAACCAGCTTGAGAGCTGATGAGTTTATTCAATGGAAGGGCTAGTGGAAAGGGAAATCCACCAGTGTTACGGGGTTCCCCCCCACAAGGGAGAAGATGACAGGTTGGAATAGCAGTAATGGGCAGAGGATCATTCTGCCCATCAAAAAGGGACAGGCCCATCTATATTAGAAATGTGTTACCGGAAGTCTCTAAGCCAGCTGGGAGCCGGCAGAACACCCCTCTGCATCCCTGAGCTCCAAACACTATTCAACACATTCAGATCTCTGCAGGGGATCTGACATGGAAATAAATGTCAAAGGCAATTTATGAAGACATTTAAAAGCTGAAGTAACTTAAGTAACTTTTTTAAACAAAACATTTACTTTCGGGTTTTGGGGGTTTTTTTTGGTGGTGGTTTGTTGGGGTTTTTCGTCCTTCCTTTAAGAGCCTTGTCTCACTAATAGATTCACCTCAAATTATGCCAAAAATTCCTCTTTTCGCTGCAGACAACATGTCCAAAAAAGTACATGGATCATTTCACGAGAACTTTACAAGCCTGGGAAAGGCACACAAATATCAGCATGAGAATGGAAGTCTTGAAACAACAAATGTGGAGAAACAGTCCTCTTCATAGTTGGAAGCCAGGCTTCCTCTGTTATTTCATTGTTTTTAAAATAGGCTAACATCACATTATGCATGCCACCTAACTGAGACAGACTCCACACTTATGGCATCTTTCTTTTTTTTCAGGCTGACCAGTTGAACACCGACTTCTGAATGACAAATTCTGATACAGCAGGTCAATTCCAACATTTCAAGGGACATTTTCAAGCACAAGTGGAGCACAGAACTGGAGAGGGAGAAAGAAATACGAGAGGGGAAGGAAATTCCTGGCAAGTACTCTGAACACTTAGCAGTAATTGCTTTTGTATCAAAAAGCTAGTTTAACTGGCCTCATTACCACTGCCAGCCCAAGAATTTAATGCCCTTCCTCCTCTTTATCCTCACAATATATCTAAAATGCTGACACCCTGGATCATCCAGCTATAGGAAAAAAGAAGAGCTGAAACATTGGGGAGGCAAGGGAGGGCTCCACAGGGTCAGCCAGAACACCCAGGGCAAGGGAAGACAGAAGCAGGCTCTGAGGGGAAGGAGGCGGTGAACCCAAGAGATCCGCAGCTCCAGCCTGCTCCAGCTCATCACCCAATTCATACAATCACAAACCAGTTAGGGTTGGAAAGGACCTTAAGATGATCTAGTTCCACCCCCCCTGCCATGGGCAAGGACACCTCACACTAGACCATGTCACCCAAGGCTCTGTTCACCAGATGGGTGATGCACAGAAAACACACAGCAGAGAGGGGCAAACCCTGAGCATGCACACAGCTCCCAGCACCAGGGATGCTTTCCAGGGAGAAATGTGTATGTGGAGCAGAAAAAAAAGGGGCTGGAGGGGACGGTGGGGTGAGGAAGACGGATGATACCAGGAGAGAAGAGCAGGATGGAGCAAGAACCCCCAGACCGCCTGTGCAAGCAGAGAAATGTGTCACTCCAGGGCAGCAGCTTTGGGTTGTTTTGTTGTTGTTTAAAGGAGCATGAGCTGTAAAATCTTAAGCCATCATATTCCCTCCACTGAGAAGACCCAGATGTGCTTTTCTGTAGGAAAAAGGGCATCAGAGAACATGGATAAGTTGTTCCAGTCTTTTACAACATTTCCTGCACCAGGAAAGAGCATTCTGGTGTCCTGCTGATGTGGGACTAAAAGGGGATGCTAATATAGGGATGCTGAGAGTGCTGTTAAATACACAGTTGAAATTGTTTTGCCCTCACTTCTTTCAGTTCTGATACTCTTCAATGTAACTAGTGAAAATAGGTAAACACCCAGGTCAGTATGAATTCTTTATATATATATATAGATATATTTTTTTTTCCCCACAGCTCCAAAACCTAATACTTATATGCAATTTACAGGACACAAAAACATTTGTTCCAAATGAACAAAGACCCTTTTATTTGCTCTAAGACCAAAAGATATTTTTCTGTCTTCCTAACAGATTTAGTCATACGTCACCAGCCAAAATCACAAGAGAAGTATTTCTCCTAAAAATCCAAAAAAAAGGCCAAATCTGCTCTGAATTTCCCCATTTTGTGTTGTTTTTTTCTTTTGTTTTGTTATGCCCTTTTGAAAAAAAATACAAATTTCAAAACTGGAGTTAATTCATCTAATTCCACATATAAACCACGCCGCAATCTGCAGAATAAGCTGCATATGACCGGAAGCAAAGGAACATTTCCTGGAAAGAAGTTCATCCCAGCGTCCCTTTTTCTTCTATTAGCTCCTTCAAGTCTGTCTTGTGTCTTTATTTCTTTACTTTAATTGATTACTCTAGATTAGCTTAGAATGCATGTTACCTGATGATTCAGATAGCAAGCCTACTGTAGCTGAGAATAATCATACTTGCCGCTTGGTGCCTTTTCTTCATCCTTCCTTTTTGTGTCCTTTGTTCACAGCAGATGAAGAAAAAGCAAGTCAGGGGAAGGCATTTTATTGTTGGGTCTTTTTCTTTATGGTTGTGGGGTTTTCTTGGAAACAGCAGGCAAAAAGGTCTGGGTTCTCTAACATACAAGAGGTCTTTTTTGAGTGAATCTGCTTAGGCAGTACTGCTTTATTTTTCTGTATATTGATAAAGTAAAATTTGACTTATGTTTGGTATTT